CTTGATTGATGTGTGCTCTTATTGGATACATTTGTGAATGTGTATGGTGGGTTATGACGTAGTCTTGAATGGGTTCTACAATTTAGTTTAATTGTCATTAGGTAGACAATTCATTCTTGATGTTGATAATCTATGCTTACAATTGTGATTTGTGATGATAATGTGACCACATCTATAATTACACTAATAAATTCCCCATTAATTGAAAGCATATGGTTAATTGCATGGGCTTAGTGGTGAATCCTAACCCTAAGACTCTCTTCCTATCTCTTTAATTCTTAGTTTAATGTCATTTCTATTTTCATGCTTTTAATTGAATTTTAGTTTAATCACTCCACCAAAATATTTTTCTCTCACACTCTTTCTCTTTCTTTCTCTTCTCTCTTTTACAATCTTATTAGCATTAAAATCAAGTTTAGTCCCAACACGTGTTCAATCCCTTGGGTTCGATCCCTTCTCACTTCATACTACATAGTATAAGTGTCTAGCGGTTTACAAATGTAAACTATGATGCCCGCTTGATACCATTTCCAAAACCAAAGTGTTGTGCATTATTTTGTGCACACGCTCGGGTCGCATCATAATTTTGGCGCCGTTGCCGGGGATTGACGGTTTAGTTGGAATTAAATTAGGCATTAGGGCTAATTTAATTGTTTTCTTAAAATTACTATTTTCTTACTAATCCCCCTTGTTCAATTAGGTACTTGAAAAGAAAAGGAGCAAGCATTGGATTTTAGCACCTTTGTAACATTGTTGCTAGGGACTTTTGTAAGCTTCCTTGAATTTCTTTTATTATAATTGTTCAATTCTCTGTATGCTTGCGAGATAGCCCTTGTCGAGGCTATCACATTGTTTAAATTCTTGTCCAAGCATAAGCCCAAAAGGAGGCTACTACTTTCTTGATAGAAAGCATCGGCCCGTGTGGAGGCAATTTAATTTTGTGCATTGATATAACATGGGAGTATGGGAACATCGTATGTGGAGGTGGTGAATTGTTGTTGATTTTTGTTGTGGTTTGTTGTGAAGTTGTTGTGGTCTAATCTTGAATCATCCATTCGGTGTTAGGAGGTAGTTCTAGGAGAATTCTTCCCATTCTTGATTATCCCACACTTAATGGAAAACCAATTTTAATAACTAGGGAATATGGATAATCTAGGTGAGTATTACCCTCTTAATGGGCATCCACCCTTGAGAATTCCCCATCCTAATGTGTTGCCACAACCCAATCAAGTGCAACAACCTCCAATAATGCCAATCCATCTTCAAGATCATGTAGTGAATCCCCCCAATCATCAATTATCTCTTCGGGATCATTACACTCCCAATGTATACAATGCACCAACATGCATCCGGTTGCCAAACTTTCGGGCAACCCATTATGAAATTAAGCCCGCAACCATCCAAATGTGCCCCATTTTCTATGGGGTAAACAATGAAGAACCATATAAACATTTGGATGAGTTTTTAGAAGTTTGTTCAACCGTGAAAATCACGGACCTTCCGGAAGAAGTCTTAAAAATGAAGCTTTTCCCTTTCACTCTTCGGGAAAAGGCTAAATATTGGTTCAATAACTTGAGGGCAAATTCAATCACATCTTGGGCTCAACTACAATATGAATTCCTAAAAAAATTTTACCCCGCAAGTAGAACCGATGCTATGAGAGCTTCTATCCGTGAATTCTCCCAAAATGAGGGAGAGCCTTTGCATGAAGCATGGGAGCGTTTGAACGATTTGCTACGGAAGTGTCCACATCACGACATTCCTAAGTGGCAATTAGTCCTAAGTGGCAATTAGTTCGTTGCTTCTATGAAAGCTTATCCGATACCCAAAAAGGGATGGTTGATGCTTCATGTGGAGGAGCCTATTTGGACAAAAATGAAGACGATGTGTGGCATCTTTTTGATCGCATGAGCGAAAATTCAATGCATCGTTCTTCATCGTCCCGATTTGGCCAAAATTTAAATGAAGGAGGGAAGAAAACCTCCAATCTTTCTCAAATAAATATTTCCATGGAAATTGCCGCTGAGGTCAAAATTCTTACTCAAAGGTTTGATAAATTCTTTTCGAGCCAAAACCCGGCAATTCAAACATCCAACTCTTTCCATTCTCAAAGTGTGATGTGCATGACTTGCTCTAGTTATACTCACAATACTTCCAATTGTCCTCTTGGACAAGTTTTTCCGAGTGAGTATCAAGAACAAGTCAATGCTGTTTTCATTCATCCGGGAAGTAATCCAAATTCTAACTCCTACAATTCTGGATGGAGTGATCCTCACTTTTCTTAGAGAAATCAAGGAGGAGGTATCATTCCTCCTATTCATAAAAATTCCCAAGAAAAGTATGTGCCTCCCCACCTCCGAAATGCAAATTCTCAAGCATACCACTCTCCATCTTATCCTCTTCCAAATGTGAATCAATTCTCTAATTCTCATTCTTCAAATCATCAATCTTATTCTCATCCACCTCAAGAGCCTCTTAGGAATCCCACTTTTGAGGATAAGGTTTTAGAAGCTTTGGGTGATCTTCAAAAGGAAAATCAAGTGTTTCATTCACATTCTCAATCAATTGCAAAACTTGAAGCCCAAATTGGGCAAATGGCTAAATCAATAAAAGAGAAAGGGCCTATTCAACCTGAGATTAACCGAAAGGCATACTCCATTTCCACCTTGAGGAGTGGGAGAAAAATTGATAATAAAGTTAAGAGACCTAGTGAAGTTAGTGTTCCGGTGCAACCAAGTGTTAGCACATTTACCATTCCCAATTCCATTCCTACTTCACTAGGGACAAATGGTCACATTAATGAGCAAATTGCATCATCATCATCTTCCTCCCATGTAGAGAAGTCTTATGAGCCCAAAGCTCCATTTCCACAAGCTTTAAACGCTACTCCATTTTCGAGGCAAGAAGGAAAAATCCATGACATGATGGAAGTTTTTAAACAAGTTAAAATCAACCTTCCTCTTCTTGATGCTATTCAACAAATTCCACCATATGCCAAGTTCTTGAAGGACTTGTGTACTCAAAAGAGGAAGAACAAGGGACCAAGCCCAAAGAAAGTGCTTCTCACGGAGCAAGTGAGCTCTATCATTAAGCTTAACACCCTACCTAAGTTCAAAGACCCCGGCGCGCCAACCATCTCTTGTACCATAGGGAACCATGAGGTCAAAAGGGCTCTTCTTGACTTAGGGGCTAGTGTTAATGTTATTCCTTACTCCGTGTATCTTCAATTAGGTTTGGGAAACCTTAAGCCAACTTCGGTAGTTATTCAACTCGCCGATAGGTCTACAAAACAACCAAGGGGAATTGTTGAGGACATCCTTATCAAAGTTGACAAATTCTATTTCCCGGTTGATTTTGTTGTGCTTGACACTGAGCTGGTTCCCAATCCTACCACTTACATTCCAATAATCTTAGGAAGACCATTCCTTGCCACTGCTAATGCGACAATCAATTGTAGGTCCGGCATTATGGACATATCTTTTGGCAATATGATGGTTAAGCTTAATGTGTTCAACATGAGCCAACATTGTATCAATGAAGGCAAGTGTTTCATGGTGAATGTCTTGGATGAAATTGTTGAAGAAGCTATTCCTTCCATTCATTCTATTCTTTCTGAAGATCCTCTTGAGGCATGCCTCTCTCACTTCAATATAGATGCATTTGACATTGAAAGCTCCATATATGAAGTGAATTCTCTAATAGACTCCGTGGCCATCTTAGACTTCCCGCCATGGAAAAACTCAAAAGAACCTCTTCCTTCAATCGCAAGTACTCTTTCTTATCAAGAAGAGGAAGAAGTGGTAAGTACGCCAATGGCCAATCCAATTTATGAGGACATTCCTTATAATATTGAGCATGAAGTCATTGAGGCGACCTTAGTGAAGGAGGAGAAAGTGATCAATGTGGAAGTTAACAAAAATGATGAAGAGATTGAGTTTCTTAATAATCTAACCGAACCTTTGAAAGACATTACCTTGCCAAGTGCAAGGCCGCTCATTATGGACTTTATTTTCAAAACCGTGGATGAGAGGAAACAAATTGCATCTTTCACCATTTCTTTCCAAATCATTCTTTTGGGAGATGTATTCATTGTTGCGAGAGAAGATCCATTGGGGAAAATAGATAAACGGATCAATGAGGATGTCTCATATCCAGTTTTTGATTCTTTCGACTAGTGAGTCACCCCAACGTCTTGCTAGAGACGTTAAATACTAGTTGTTCGTAGAATTTTCAAAAAAAAAAAAATGCATTTTATTATTATTTTGTTTTCTTTTCCTTTTGTACATTTATGTATTTTTATATTCAAAAAGAAAAAAAAAAAAAAAAAATTTGTTGTGATGGGTAGGATAAGTTGGTATTTGATTTTATTTTAATTTTTAGTAGTATTATTTTAATTTTAATTTTTATATATATTTAATTTTAGTATATATATTTTTCTTTTTAGTTTTACTTAAAAAAAAAAAAAAAAAAATTAAGTTGGTAAGTGATTTTATTTTAATTTTATTTATTATTATTATTATTTTTATCTATTTTTCATTTCAGTGTATATATTCTTTTTAGTTATTATTTTTATTTTTATTTTTTTATTTTTAGTGTATATATTAAAAAATAAATAAATTAAAGAAAAAAAAAAAAGCAAAAGATGGATCACCGTCTTGGCAGAGAGCAACAAAAAAATGTCCCAAGTAGATTGATCCCCCAATCACGTGGATCGATCCCTTTTTACCTATGTCGCCACTTTCTCATTCCACAGTGAAGGGCCAATTTTGTGTCTAAAATTATCGATCCCCTTAACTGATGGATCGAGCCCATTAGCTTGCCTTCCCATCTCTCTCTCGTCTGCATTCACTGCCAACCCTCAAATCTCTTAACCCAAGTTCTTCGACCATCCTCTCTATTTGATCCTCTCTGTTCTATCCTCTCTTGCGCCGTGTTGAAGAGGTCGTTCAACGGCGTCGCTGTTGGGTGGTGGGTTATTTCCCGGTGATTTTACTTCGCCGTTCTCTGTCGCATCTGGGCCAGCGATCGCCGCTGGGTTTTTCTCCGAGATCGCGGCTGTACAACTTTCCAGCATCGGCTGGGTCTTTCCGGCGGGTGTCTTAATCGCTGTATTTCTCCGACGAGGTTGGGTCGCCGAGATTACATCGCCGCGGCTGGTTTTTCTTTTCCGGCGCGTTTGGCTTGGTTCTCTGGCGTCTGCGGTTGTTGGGTCGCCGAGATTACATCGTCGCGGTTGGTTCGTTCGCCGGCTTGTTCGCTTCACCTGCAGTTTAGGCGTTGGGTTGTGGATTTCGCCGACTGTGGGTTACGTTTGAGGCTGTTGGGTAGAAATTTCGCCGGCTTGTTCGCTGCGCTGGCGACGCGGCTGTTCGTCTTCCGGCGTCGCCTCTGTTCGTCTTTCTGGCGTCCCATCTGTTCCTTTTCCAGCGATTCGCGGCTAGGTTCGTCAACGATTCGCGGCTGGGTCGTTCTCCGGCGATCTCGGCTAGCACCAGCGATCTGTTTCGTCCTCCGGCGTTGCGGCTGCTTCTTCTTCAGCGATTCCGGCGTCTGGTTCTTCCAACAGCGATCGCGGCGGCTCTTTCCGGCAATTCCGGCTGGGCTTAAATTCCGGCGCTGTTTGAGACTCGCCCTTTATTTTTCCGGCGTTGCAACTGGCTGTTCCCTCCAGCGATTTTGGCTAGATTTTGATTTGGTTTCTTCATCGATTCCGGCGGCTTTTGACTGGGTTTTCTCCGGCAAGTATGTGGGTAAGTGCTGATTTTGGCAAGTTTGGCATGTCTGTGAGTTGTTAATTGGGTTCCAAATTCTATTTTATTTATTTATTTATTTTATTTTTTTATTTTTACATTGATGACTTAAAAAAAAAAAAAACAGTTGAATTGTTGTTAAAAAAAAAAAGTGCATAAAATTTTGAATTGATGATTTAAAAAAAAATATTTGTCATTGAAGTAGGGTTATTGATTTTGGACTACTTCCCATATATTTCAATCTTAAGAAATGACTCGTGTTTCTTCTTCCAAACGTTTTAAACCCTCCAAAGAGACTCCCAAAGTTGTGTGGCGCAACAAACGTTTGGATTTTGAGACTACCTTCGACATTGAAGGTACGTTTCGCCACAATGACACGACTGAATGGGCGGTGTTAGAATTTGAAAGGAGGCGTTTGTCCTGCCTTTTTAGACCAGCTGCAGAGGTTGTCTATCCCCGTATTGTGCGCTTGTTTTATCAGAATATGGAATGGTTTAGTGATGCGCCGGACATATTAGTTACAACCATTGATGGTGTCCGAATTCACTTTGGTGTCTTGGACATAGCCCAGGCATTAGGGTGTCCACATTTGTGCCCCACTGACTTGCTAGCAGAGAATGGGGAGCTACGTTTTGGCAAATTCTCGAAAAAACCTACTGTACATTCTATTCTTAAAGATATGTGTGACGGGAAGTATGGTGACAAGAAGAAGAAGAATTGTGCCAGCAAGTCCTCACTACCTAAGGATATGTGGTTTTTCGATCAGGTTCTGAAACGGAATGTTTTTCCAATAGGTCATAAGGTACAGCGGGGACAAGAGTTCTTAATAGCGTTGTATGCTAACCACACTGGAACATGGTTTTCTGTTCCAGCTTTCGTCTTTAACCAGATGCATAAATACTGGAAGCATTTAGTGGCGAGTGGGGATCCGAATGCGAAAAAATGGAAACTTCCGTTTCCGTATCTTATTACCCAGCTCCTTGTCCTTCGGCGCTTCGTGGTTGATAATGATGAGATCTCTGAGGCTCCACGGGTGACTTTTAGGCTAGCACAGTGGAACTTAAGCCTTTCTGATATGCCTAGTGCCAAGAAGGAAGGTGATGGCATGGTAGCAGGTACTAAAGAGGACGTGAATAACCTGGTTGAGGACGTTGTTGGGAGGTCTGAGGACCAGATTGCTGATGGTGCTACTTATGAGATAGCACCGGCTGTGTCACCACATGCAAATGAGTCTGCAGGGGTGACTAGGGCAGAGTTCAATGCCATTGTGGGGCAGTTGAGGACCGAGTTGGCTGAATCTCGAGAGCAGCATAGAGTCGAGCATGCTGAGCTTATACAGCAGCATACCACTACCCAGCGCATGCTACGAGATCTATATGAGATTGTTTCATCGAGTCTCCCACGCACTTCCACATTGCCACCTGATGCATGATTTCTTTTGTCTATTTTAAGCTGTTCAGATTTTTTGCAAAGTATCATTCCGTCTTGCTAGAGACGTTAAACTTAGCCCATTATTTATTTATTTTCTAGGTTGTATATACATGTTTTTTTTTCTTTATTTCTTTTAAAATAAAATTAAAAAAAAAAAAAAAACAAAACAAAGCAAACAAAAAAAATAATAATAATAAAAAATAAAAAATTTCAAAAATATGTGTTCCCGTTATGCCCTTCTGCTTAGTTATGCTTGTTTTCATCTTTTACAAAGGGCTTGATATCATATCTCTTTACATCTTATTCTATATTGTTTTAGAATGTATGCTTTACTTATCCCATTTGATGTTTGATGTGAGTTGCTAGTGTGGCTTTTCTAGTAGGTTTTTGCATCCAAGTTTGGGGGAGACCTCTTTCGTCATGGATCATTGCCGGGCGTCATTAACTTTTGCCATCACGGTATACTCTTTCCATTTCTTTCATTGTTCTCATTGCACATTGAGGACCAATGTGTAGTTTAAGTTTGGGGGTAAGGTAGCCTTGTTACATTCTACTTTAAGTTGAGCTTTAAATGCATGATTGAGATTTGAGATGTATTTGGCAATGATTTTGAACTTTTGAAGCATAGTACTTTTAAAAAACAAGTTGTTAAAGTCTAATACTTCTTGTATGCTCTAGGATGCCATTTAGGGGTAAATTTTTAATTTTTGATATCATATTTGGTCTTGTGGTACACATCATCTTGTTGGTTGAAAATGCTTTAAGAGTTGATTCTAGAATTCTACACTTGCACTTGCGCACACTAGCATTCAATTTGTGGGGTACATGCTTAGTTGATTATTGTCTTGGTTTATCCCAATTGAGCTAGTATGCTTTGGAAGCTTTCATTCTTGATAAAATGACTTTGCAAAGAAAAAAAATAAAAGCACTCACCAAAGGTGAGGAAAAAAAAAAAAAAAAAAACAGCATTATTTCAACATGTCAACTGATTAAAAAGGAAGACAAGGAAAGAATGTAAGATGTATGATTAGTTTGAGTTCGTAGCCTAGTCATTCCGAGTCATTACGCCCTTAGGAGTGTCTTTACACTTAACGCCCTAAGACCATCTGGTTTGGGAGTCGTTGGCTCAACGCTTGTTACATGGGGTGATTAGAGAGCTTAAGGAACTTGGACATTGCACATGGTCATACATATATATATATATAAAATTGATGAAATCAAATAAAAAAAAAAATGTTTGATTGAATAACAAGGTTCATTGAATGTCTTGATGTCTGGTACTATATTTGTATGCTAGTTTGAGGGTAAGGCTATGCCATTACTTTGATTTGCTAGGATAGCAACACATTTTGATGCCGGTTCACTAAAAAAGGATGATAAAATTGATTCAATTTGCATGATTAACTTGCTTGATGTGTGGAGGACCATTTTTGCTTACATGATGTTGAAATATTAAGAATAGCTTAGAAATGGCAGAAATTTGCATACTTGAAGTAGTCTACTTTAAACACTTATTTGATATGTGTTGTTACTTCTCAAGTAAGAAAGAGCTGTTGATGTTTGTGGGTACCATTTCTGAAAACCCTCACGAGACTTCACTCGTCCACTAGGGGTAACCTAGGGGTTTAAAAGGCTTGTTGCATATGCTAAATGCAACCGTGATCCCTACGAAAGTGGTGTTATCTTTATTTGCTTAATTAGTTCATAGTTGTATATATGTTTGTTTCATTTCCATGTTATAGTTCATTGCTAGGGACTAGCAATATCTAAGTTTGGGGGTGTGATAAGTGCTTAAATGTTGCACATTTCAGCACCTAAGCTAGGGTATTTCAGTCTTTACATCTATCTTAAGTTTATGTTTTAGTCCTAATTTATGTTTATGTGTATTTCAGGGCAATAAAGTTAAAATGAGCTAAGAACGGTCCAATTAAGCCTTTTTGGAGTTAAGCAAAGATTTTCAGAAAATGGCACAAAGCGGTCAATCTCGGGCCTTTGATGATGTTCCCAAAGATGGAGAAGCAAACCAAATAGCCCGGGACAAAAATGGAGTTGAATAAGGCTTAAAGGAATTTTCCAACTCTGGGGGATCGATCCCCCAGGGTGGGGGATCAATCCCCCAGGACTTGGCAACATTGCATATTTTTATTTTAATGTTTGGGCTTATTTTGTAACCTAGTGGGCTTTAATAGGTTTATTACTTAAGCCCAGTGAGGCCCATTGTTTTTAGGGTTAGTATTTATTAGTTTAGTGATTTATTATTTGGAGAATGAAGTTTTGATTATTTTTTTTTTTAATCTGTATCGTGATATCGTTCTCTCTGGAAGAAAACGAAAGGAAGAAAAAAAGCGAGGGTTTCAAGAATATTTTTTACAGAGGCTTTGTCTACAGTTGAAGGAAGAAGAAGAAGGGCCAAAAGATGGAGATAGGACTTGTTGACACCATGATCATCTCCTCCATGAGCTAGTTCTTCACTTAGGGCTTGGATGAGCCCTAAGTTCATGTAACCCTAACCTTTGTATTTCTTTTCTTGGGAAATTATTATGTTGTAATTAAATTATATGGCCTTGCGATTTCTTAATATATACATGCTTGATTTGATAAATTAGGGTTTGTATTGATAAATTCTTCCATTGAAATCTCCAATTGATTGTATGTCTATGTATGATTAATTAGGGATTTTATTCTTCATTAGATGATTAGAATTTAATTCTTCCATTGATTCTATATGAAAATTGCATGTCTAGGTGTGATTGATTTAGAATTATACTCTACACTAGATACTTCTTTTAGTTGTGTTTAGTGATGGCCATAGCATGAGACTTAGTTGATACAATTGTCAATTAATTTGATGGATAAAGGCTTAATCATGATAGATTGTTTTACAAATTAGCTTATTTGTCATTAGTTAATTGTAGTAAAGTAGGCAATCTGGGCTTGATTATTTTAATCCATGCTTCTAATTACAATTAGTATTATCTTCTTGATTGATGTGTGCTCTTATTGGATACATTTGTGAATGTGTATGGTGGGTTATGACATAGTCTTGAATGGGTTCTACACTTTAGTTTAATTGTCATTAGGTAGACAATTCATTCTTGATGTTGATAATCTATGCTTACAATTGTGATTTGTGATGATAATGTGACCACATCTAGAATTACACTAATAAATTCCCCATTAATTGAAAGCATATGGTTAATTGCATGGGCTTAGTGGTGAATCCTAACCCTAAGACTCTCTTCCTATCTCTTTAATTCTTAGTTTAATGTCATTTCTATTTTCATGCTTTTAATTGAATTTTAGTTTAATCACTCCACCAAAATATTTTTCTCTCACACTCTTTCTCTCTCTTTCTCTTCTCTCTTTTACAATCTAATTAGCATTAAAATCAAGTTTAGTCCCAACACGTGTTCAATCCCTTGGGTTCGATCCCTTCTCACTTCATACTACATAGTATAAGTGTCTAACGGTTTACAAATGTAAACTATGATGCCCGCTTGATACCATTTCCAAAACCAAAGTGTTGTGCATTATTTTGTGCACACGCTCGGGTCACATCACATGCCTAAAATCCTAGCGTAATTAACGTTATTCCTCCAAAAAGGTAGTTAACTGATCACTCACTTGTGTCCCCAACTAAACCGTATTACCAATCTTGAATACTTGACGAAAAAGAAACACATAAAGCACACAATAAAACACAATAAATCCCTTCGTAAAACATCGTTCCTCTTAGCAAAGAAAATCTCTTTTAAAAATCAACTTTACCCGATTAGTTCACAATCTCCTTTCTACAGTTTCGGAGTTAATCATCCAACCATGAAACATAGCTCAAAACAAACTCCATTTGCCTCAGCAAATGCCAAAGGCTTAACCTTCATCCTCCTTATACACAGAATACAAACCGTCTAATGTAACTGTATAAAGCAACTTAAATCGTCAAAACCTAATCCCCCTACTTCCCAGAACGTGCTATATAATCTTTGCTTCGTTCTAAGAAGAACTCCATCCGATTCCTAAACCCCCAAAGAGTTCCCTTTATCTACCTCGTTTAAAGGTAATACACAAGGTTAGCTATCCACCTCAACTCTATGAGTATTGTTCACTATACTATTAGCGAACAAGATCACTTTCACGTGATCCTTGATTTTCAACATTCAATACCCTCTTTCTTGGGTATGTGGAAATCTCCTCCACTAGAATCCTTTTTGGACTCCTATTCCTCGGTTGTCTCTTTTATGAGAATAACTAAAATCGTGTTAGTCCCTTTTATACGGGGACCTAAAACACACTCCTATATCCCTCATTGGCTTATACTTTTAAAAGTAGTGCCAACCGGAACTAAACCTTAAATCCCAAGTTTTGCTTCTGATAGAGAACTCGATAACGTATTCCTCTACTCCTTCGGTCTGATTTGCTGTCGCCGCAGACCCCATCCTCCTTCTAGTGTCAACCATTCCATAATTATGGAATATAATTGACATCAGGAGCTCCTCCTAATGAACCGTAAAAGAGTACAACAAATCCTAATATGGCTCTAAGTTTTTTTTTTAAGAGACGCAACGCGGAAGACTTCTAACAAAAGACACTCCTAAGGACACTAGAACCTGGAGTGCTCTGATACCAACTGTGATACCCCTCGTTTCTAGAGCCAAGGGTGATCAGCTCCGAGCACAGATCCGAGGGATACCAAACAATCAATATGTAAACAAGCAGGAATAAAACTGAAGTAAGATTTAAATAATAATAACCAGAAAGAATACTAATATGAAAATCCTCAAACCTTAAATAATAATTTAATATAATTTAAATCCGTACAACTCGGGAATCCACCTGGTGGACCCCTAAATACAAATCTTTAGATAAATTTACAGAATTAAAATCCAAAACCATAATAGGAAGGAAATCCTATGTAACCGGTAGAGTGAGTGTCTGTATCTGCATCAACACGATCAAACTCTAAGCTGGAACTGGCGAATACCTAAAAAAAGGAGTGGGTCAGGCCCACATGCAAGTTCCAATCTACTACAATCTGTACATAAACTCGATACGCAGATACATCCTAGATAGCTCGGCAATATCTATAATAGTCCATATATATATAAATACACACTATAGGATGCTCACTAGCCTATAACATAGTTCAGCCTGGGTAGAATGTGACATATAAAACACGCTTTTCAGCGGCCAAGTACCTAGACCTACCAGGGAACATTAGTTATATCCAGCTACTCAACCTTTGCAATATACACACCCTAACCATGATCAGGAGACTCAAGCTCGTATCACGGTACCATAAATATATATATAAATTCCTTCCTAAATGCAGAAAGATAAAACAAACATCCGTTATGTCGTTCAACTATTTTAGTTGACAGGACATGTATGCATGTAGGAGTTAACTACTTTAGTTAATCCATTCCGTATGTATGAAGGGGTAGGACTTAGTTTTTTTTTTTTATCTAATCCATCCCTGATATGTCACCGTCCCATATCGGTACATATAATGCAAATGATCCACAAATGATGCACATTCATTAGAACATCAAACTTATCCAGAAAATAGCATAGTAGAAATCAGATATTATTAAGATCCTATCATGCATCCAGTATATGATTAAACCATAAATCCTTCATTTAAATTGTTAAAGTAATGATGAACAACTTAAATTATCCAATTCCATACAATTGATCGAATATAAATTTTAACAGTTCATCAATTAACATCCATAGCACAATATAATGACAAATAGAGTTATTACTGTGCACATTATACTAGACTGCCAAAAATACCTCCATACTAGTCCAGTTCGTTTGCTATAACAAAACTAGTAATCACAACCTATATCACCCTTGACAGCATGCCAAGTAATGCTTAAATTACATGATGTCCCTTTAATCCTCACTTTAGATCATGTGTCTGATATAACGACACTCAGAAAACTACCCGGAGTACATCTTATGAAACCCTAAAAGTATTCCCATGCAAGTCCATTTAGTTCGCTAAAATAAAGCTAGCAACTAAAACTCCTATAACTCCTGTCGGCATGCAACCTCTCAATTAAAATTACATGATGACCCTAACCATAGCATAAACAACCCTCTTGGAACTGAAACATGTCATTTATATCATTGGTATAAATTCCTAACACTTACCTTTATTGCAGTTCATTTAATTTGCTAGCCAACCAACGATTCCAATTCTCCTTCCTTCTTGACAGTATTGAACATTCTTATTTTAAAATTTATGTTGTCCATTCCCATGAACTGAATCAATGCATCTTAGGTCTTAAACATACTCTGTACACCGTTTAAGAACCCCCATGAAACTCCAAAATTACCCTTTTGCCCCTGAAGTATCAAAAAATACCAGAAATACCCCCGGAGGGGTTTCTGTTCAAAGGAGCCGGCTCCCCCCATGGGAGCCGGCTCTTCATCTTCTAGAGGAGGCTCTCCCTCATGGAGAGCAGGGAGAGCCAGCTCTACCTTCTTGGGAGCCGGCTCCCTCATTTAGGGAACCGGCTCTCTTCCCCTGAGAGCCGTCTCTGCTCTATTGCTTCGTCTCTGCTTCGTCCGGTTGCCGTCTATGCTTCCGGCGAAGTCCAGTGTTCTATTCCAGACCTTTTTAAGATTATTAAGGTTCCATTAATGCTCTTAAACCCCTAGAGACTCCTCCTATCCCAATGTGAACCAATTGACAAACAAAACTTAAACTACACACACAGTTTATGTAAGAATAAGTTTAAACTTTAAAACGCAGAACAGATTTCAGAAAACATCAAACATGAATAAAGTCTATTTTTAAAAGTTTATTTAAGTTCCTGGAGTCTATATAAGATGCACAGAACACAAGTTTACAGGAGAGGAATAGACTGAAACTTGCCTGAAGATTCCGGTTTGAAATCTTCATCGTCGTCTCTAAGTTTCAGAGCTTCTCCAAGACTCTTCATTCCTCTAATCACTGCTCCAGTTCAATCTCACATTAAACCATTCCTTCCTCCTTGATATGACCTTCAGTTACATTGCTGAAAGCCTTTCCCCAGTTTTCCTTTCATGTTTTACCCCTCAGCCTCTCTGTTTCTCTTTTTCTCTAGTTACGGGAACATAGTTTGTTTTTTTTTTAAAACCCTTGCCAGACCTACAACTTATATATATATATAGGCTCCATTAAAACCCTAATCCTAATTTCCACGACTCATTATATGACGGCTATACAACATAAACCCTAAACTTAATTTATAAATCATATAAGCCATATACAACACACGTCAGTTAAAACCAATTAATCATTC